GTTAAAAGAAAACTCAAAATAAATCTCACCACACTATTTGTGCATCTCAGTCCTTAACCACCTAATGATTCTAATTTCACAAGCTTACCCAACCATCCATGCCTAAGGGGGTATGTTTGCTGGTTAGATTTGCTAATAAACAACTTCAAGGTGGGTGGGCACATTAGCGCATTTGAATAAAGGATGATTCGGAATCTGCTGACTCCTTCTTCTGGGTCCATTAAGAACATTTTATATATATATAAAATTATCATCCCCCATGAGTATTGTCAGGGACTGGAAGCCAATTTTAACTGTGGAGCAAGGACACCATTACACTGGGGCAGATTGGTGAGGGTGGGACTGGAAACACCGTTTTAAACACATCAAGATTAAATTGCCAAGAAAACAAGTGCAAAGTGTTTTTTTTTAAGAGCATGTGTTGTGGGTACCTTTATAGCTTCTAATAAAGATCAAAGCTTGTAGTATGCCTTATGTCAGGGCAGGAATTTTCTGAGAGCCCTGCAACACAAGCATAAAATATACATGTCTGATATATATATATATTACAAACTTGTGGGGTCTTCCAGTGATAGAATTTGATAAACTTTTATGGCTCTGAAGTCACCTTGCTTTTATGAAGCTAGTTTCAGAAAGTAACCATGTTGGTATGAGGTAGAACAGCTAGATTCGAGACAATAATCACCTTAGAGACCAACATGATTTTGGGGGTATGAGCCTTTGAAAGTCAAATCTCCCTTTGTCAGATACGAGTTGGAATGGAGATTTCTGAGTCCTTATATCCCAGTCAGAAGGTGGGAGAGGTGTTGCAGGGAAGAAATGCAGGATGCAAAGGTACAATATAGTAATTAGAGCAGAGGGTACAATATAGTCATTAGAGCAGAGGGAAAATGCTTGGGGGCAGAAAATTACTATCAGTAATGAGATAAGAATCCTATGTCCTTTTTGGGGACAGGCTCAGTGATAGAGCATCCGCCTGGCATGCAAAAGGTCCCAGGTTCAGTTCCTGGCATCTGCAATTTAAAAAGACCTCTGATCATCTTCTTGTTCTTCACTTCAAAAGGCCATTTTCCAAGTCCTTCTGCCTTTACTTCGGCTTTCTGTCCCTAAAATTGCATACCACTCTGGCGGGTCCTGCACCCTTTTCTGCCGCAGAGTCCTCTTCCATTCCAGAGGTAGCAGAGTCAACAGACTTCATTTCTTCCTCTTTGGACTCTTCATCTGTCCCCAGCTGACGTCTCAAAAATTCTTTAACTTTAAAAGTGGAGTCTATCTCCTCTCTTCTGTTGTTGATATTAAAGATGACACTCTCCAGAACCGCCCATCTGTACGATATCCCATTAGTTTGAAGGAAAGAAATTAAGTCCTTGTAATTTTTCCTCTTTTGTCTAATTTCAAATGGAATGTCTTTTAAAAGTTTTAATGGTTACATTTCCCATTTTCAGTGGAGTTGCTGATGTTGCTTTTAAAATGGCATCTCTCGTCTGTCTTCTTGAAAACCTGTCCACTATTTCTCCAGGTAGGCTATTTTTTTTAATGTAATTGGAGTATGCCCTGTAGGCTGACTCCATTTTGTTTACAAGTTCATCCACTGTTAAGCCTACCACTGGAGTGATGATCTCACTAAGCACCCTCTTCAGGTCTTCCCCATCCGTTTCAGGAACTCCCTGAAACCTGAGAATGTTAGCTTTTTCCATCTGTAGCTGCAAAACTCGATTCTCTTGGCAATTCTGCTTTGTTTCAACTTCTCCCATCCTTTTCTTCAACTTCTTGTTGTCAGCAAGCTGCCATTCTGTTTTCTGTGACCTCTGTGTACATATCCTTTCCCTGTTGCACCCGGCTTGTTTTCTATCCTCCTGCTCCTGCGTTGGAATGCACAAGATAACTGCTGGAGGTTGTGTGGGGGAGAAGATGCTGTAATGCTTGCCTATTGCTTTTCTCATGAGTACTGCACCTGTGTTTTGTCTGATGTTCTGCCTGGTTCCCATGGACTGGGCGCGCAACCGTTTCATTAGCCCGCCAGCGGGAAAGCTATTCATTGGATCTGTATCTGTTTGAAGTTCCTTTATTATGCTTGACCTAACTGTGTATCCCCAGTTCTAACAAAGAACGTGTTTGAGTATGTCTTCAACGCTTTGAAATAAATTTTGCTTTTCTTGAAAACGTGGATTTATTCTCGATGCTTGGGGATCCAACATATTGTTAGAACTCCCTTTCTCCTATCGTTCCGAATCTGGCAAGATCATGAGCGGAATTGAGGGAAACCTACCTAACACGGAGGGGGACTCGGGATCGGTCCCACCTACCTCCGCTCCTTTGGTGTCTACGACTGCCTAGGGCTTTTTTGGTAGCAGGAACTCCTTTGCATGTTAGGCCACACCCCTAATGTAGCCAATCCTAATGAGTTTCTGCTATTGGGTGTGGCCTATTATGCTAATGAGTTCCTGCTGGGCATGGTCAACTTGGGAGCCAGCCGGAACTCCGTACCTGTGCGTTCCTGCCCAAAAACAGCCCTGGTTTTGTCACTTTCTAGAATACTTATTTCAATAAGGCTTGGACAGAAGAACTCCCAAGTGGATCACTGTGCTCTGTGCTAATCGAGAAGACGGTGCCCTGACCTGGATAGCCCGGGGAAGCCCGATCTCGTCAGATCTCGGAAGCTAAGCAGGGTCGACTCTGGCAAGTACTTGGATGGGAGACCTCCTTGGAATACGGGAGGCGGGGGCAGGCTTTATTCAGCCACTGCTCTGAATATCCTCTGGGCCCCCAGTAGGGCTCAGTCGCCAGAGGTCGCCATGACTTCCAGGTGCAGACACACTCACACGTGCACACACATATGCACATATTTTGAAAACACCAAACACCCCCCCCCGCAAAAAAAAATAACATGGCTGCATTATATAGACTCCTCTCCCCCCTGCCCCCAATGCTGAGATTTGGCACTTGGCAATAGTGTCGCAACAGAAGGAGAAAACAAGGGGAGGACAGACTCCCCCCCCCCCCAAATCTAAAACACCTGCACTTTCCAAATGAAAATCTGCCACCACCACCCACAACAAAACACAAACCCACAAGCACATTTTAACTTAATGGGTCGGGGGACGACACAAAAACAAATAGCCAAGAGGAAACAGGGAGGGGGAGGTGGCTCCGTCACAGTACATCTGCAACAGCAAACACATTATGCCTAACAATTATTAGGTTTTCCAGCCAATTAATCTTTTGCCAGTTCTGTGACAGCTACCGCCTACGGAAGCCTATCGCCGGTGACTGGCAGGCCTGCTGAGTGGATTGAAAACAGGAGCCATCGGTCTGGCTGTCACGGCACATTGTCTGCTTTGACAAAAGAGGCTGGAGAGTTTGCAAGCGGCATAGCTAAACCAAAAAGGTGCCTTTCTGCAGTGGAAAAAGAGAATTCTTTGCCCATAGAGCGCAAGGCCCGGAAGCACACTTAATCCCAAACTTAATCCCAGGGTTGTATTTACACTACAGACTTGATCTGGTTTAATAAGCATTCCCTCCGCCAGGAACGGAGTGAACGGTCGTTCTGGAAGGTGGGCTAGGGATCTCTAACAAGGAATTCTCAGCACCTTCACCAGACTACGATGGCCAGGAGCACTCACACAGAGGCCACGCAAGGACATTTTCAGAGTTGCCCTGCTGGATCAGACAAGTCCAGCCTTCTCTCTTGCCCATCACCTTCCAATTCATCCTTTTAACCAGAGATGCCAAAGAGTGAACCCGGGACTGTCTGCATGGAAAGCAAATGTTTTATCTTTATTTCAAGTAGTTCCAGGAAACAAAATATAAACGCACTTTGTTGATTGTGGTATCTTTTCAGTTACCTGGAAACCACAAGTTACTGAATAATCTTTCTTCTGGAACCACAAAAACAGCTGGAGTCCCCCAGTGACCCCAGGCAAGGGGTGGGCAGTAACAATGTATGGAAACTGCTGTAGGGGCAGTACGCCCTGAGGATCATGGATGACCATTTCGAACTCCCTCAATGATACTGCATGCTAAACTAAACTTGTTCCAATTCTGACAGGAAAAGAGTATGTTTTTATACCCCGCTTTTCTCTACCGTAAGGATTCTCAAAGCAGCTTACAATCACCTTCCGTTTCTCTCCCCACAACAGGCACCTGGTGAGGGAGGTGGGGATGACAGAGTTCTGAGAGAACTGTGACTGGCCCAAAGTCACCCAGCAGACCTTATAATCGCTTTCCTTTCCTCTCCCCACAACAGGCACCTGGTGAGGTAGGCGGGGCTGAGAGAGCTCTGAGAGAACTGTGACTGGAACAAGGTCACCCAGCAGGCTTAATGTGGAGGGGCGGGGAATCAAACCCAGCTCTCCAGATTGGAGTCAGCCACTCTTAACCGCTACACCACATTGGCTCTGACAGATGACTCTGAGAAGGCCTCTGTGTACCATCAAGAGATTCTCAACTGGATCTCCCAACATTTTAATTTTAACTTGGAAACAACTGCCAAGGGAGTTCCCAAACTGGATGGGGGAAGTGCTGGAAGTGCGTGGCCCTTTTCACTGGAGATGCCAGAGGTTGAACCTGGGACCTTCTGCATGCCAAGCAGATGCTCCACCACCAAGTCACAGCCTCTCCCCAAAGAAGGCAACCCTGGAAAGGGAATACATACTTCTTGTGGAGGTATGTCGAAGGATATTGTCCGCATGTCCACTTTGATAATGTTGTCTGTACAAGGCAAGACAAAAAATAGGCCTGTAGGAAAGAAAAAAAATAGAACCATAAAACACTGGGGGGGGGGGGATGTGACATCCATGATAACTGAACACATGGGCATATAATGCTGCCTTGTACAGAATCAAAACACTGGTCCATCAGGCTCCAAGATCTTCAGAGACGCTGCCTGAGGCCTTTCTCTGCCTTTCCCTAACACCAAAGACTGAAACAGGAACCTTCTGCACACCATGCACGGGCAGCGATTTCTGCCCAACATGGGCTTGTGCTCTTTCTCCTTTTCTTTTCTTCCACTCACTTCAAAATCCCGTTCCAGTCTTTGAACACAGGTTTCCTCTTTGTCACTAAACTGGAAACCTTCCTGCTTTCACAAGTAGACATCTATTTTTTTACAGACGTCTCCTCTTTCATAAAACTTGCGAAATCATTCTGTTAAGTACCGGCTTCCCACAAAGATAATGTGAACTCTCAACTAACTTCCTTGGAGTCCAGGAGATTAGGTAACAAGAACTACATAGCAACAACTAACTACAACAACCAGGCCTGGAATACACTGTTAACTACAGTTGACAAGGTAGAAACTTCTAGGTCAAAGCAGAGAAACAGGAAGTGTGGACAAACCTGCTTATGGGGAAGCTGGGGGGGGGGGTAAGGTTGCCAACCTTTCAACCAACCAATGTAGCTGTGTCTTTTACAGCTGCTCGACATGGAGGCAAGGACAAGTGATTATGTTTCTCTCCATGGGGGGGGGGGGTTCCTCCCCACCTGTGCATTAAGTAAAAGAGTTGCCAACCTCAGGGTGATGGATGGAGATCTTCCGCTATGACAGCTGATCTCCAGGTGACAGAGATTAGTTCACCTGAAGAAAATGGCTGCTCTGGAGGGTGAGGCCCATGGCATTCTACCATACTGAAGTCCCTCTCCTCCCCTTCTCAAGCCCCACCCCCAAAATCTCCAGGTATTTCCCAACGCAGGCCTGGCAACCCTGTAAAACTGCCATACCGAGCAGCCCAGGCCTTTTACTGATCAGCTGGCAACGGGAGCCACAAGAACCTGGGTAAATGAACTATGAAGAGACTATTAAAATGTTGAACCAGGGCTCTTTTTGGGCAGGAACGCACAGGAACGGAGTTCCGGCTGGCTCCCGAGTTGGCCACGTCCAGCAGGAACTCATTAGCATAATAGGACACACCCAACAGCAGAAACTCATTAGGATTGGCTACATTAGGGGTGTGTGGCCTAACATGCAAAGGAGTTCCTGCTACAAAAAAAGCCCTGGGTTTTGACAACAAACAAGGTAAACAGAATAAGAAGGGAAAGGTGAGTGTGGCTGGATAACCACACTTCTGGTAACATGGCGGTGTGGCCTAATGTGCTAATGAGCGGCGCTGTCAGGGGTGTGGCCTAATATGCTAATAGGTTTTACTGTTGGGTGTGGCCTATTATGCTAATGAGTTCCTGCTGGCCTTTTTCTACAAAAAGAGCCCCGTGAAAGGCCATTTTGTGCCCACTAACATTTTCTTCATTGAACAATTTCGATTCCCCCTCAGAGACCGAAGGGGAAGTGTGTCAGAATTCCTTGCAACTTTGAAGAAACAGCTTGAGGTGGGGGGGGTGGGGGGGGGGTTCTGAAAAAAGACTCTGAGAGATCACTTTGTTTTTTAGAATGAGAGAAATGAGATCTTGAAAGACGGACTACTAAATGTGGTGCAGAAAAAGAAACTGCCCCAAAAAGAAGCAGAGATTACTCTTATATCTGAACCAATGCTCCCTCTAAGCTGTGGAGTCTTGTGAGCAAAAATTCTACTTTGTAAGCTACTGGCATTAAAGTTGTGAGCGAGCGATTTGGCTACTGCATGAATTAGTTTGCTCTGGAGCCATCCCTTCTGAGCTAAGATAAAAATGTGTGAGCCAGAAGCTAAAAAAAATGTGAGCTAGCTCACACTAACTCAGCTTAGAGGGAACATTCCAAAGAATCCTCTGCAGTTTCAGCACAAGCTACAGCCGCTACCAACATGTTTAATGGAAGAAGAGACTGTGGCAAGTGGGTACTTCACAACACACAGAAGCAGAACAGGACATGTTGAAGGAAAACCATGTTTCTGCTGTTCAAAAATATCAAATCAGACCTTATTGTTCGTATTCCCCGGAATGACAGAAAAGTTAGAATATGTGGAGATTATAAGGTCACACTTATAATGGAAGGTCACACTTATTTCTGGTCAGAAAGTGACTAGTGTGAACAGGGCCAAAGATTACCAGGAAGCACAGTGTGGTGTAGGACGATTCCGCAAAGAGCGTTGCTGCAATTTTACAAATACTTCCTGCTTCTCTGCTTTGGCCTTGATGTTTCCGGCTTGGTGGCTGTGGTTAGGCTTGTACTCCGGGTGTAGTTGTTGGTAATTACTGTCCTATAGTTCTTCTTGTAATCTTATCTTTTGGTCTCCAGCAAAGATAGCTGAGACCTCTCTTTATCATTTTTGTGTGAGGCCAGTGCTTAAAAGCATGCATACACAATTTAACTGCTGCAAGCTAGCCTGAGCGCAAACGCAGAATATAATTAAACAGCTATAATTAAATAATAATATAATTAAATAAAACTACACAGCTCACTGCAAAAAAGCACTTTTCCATTGGAAATCTGTCTGTCTGTCTATCTGTATGTCTATCTATCTATCTGAAGATCATGCTAATAAAATGTCATCTGGAAAGGAGGAGGGGGCACAAGGGAATATAAAGGATTTAAAACCTAACTTCAGCCTCATGTTTTCTTCACACAGAATTTCATTTCAAGCTGCCTCCTGTGCAATCTTCTTTGTGTTTCATTGTTAAGGTTCTAACCCCTAAGGTAAAGGTTCCCTTGCTCGAAAGCCAGTCGAATCTGACTCTAGGGTTGCGGTGCTCATCTCCGTTTCAAAGCCGAAGAGCCAGCGCTGTCCGAAGACGTTTCCGTGGTCATGTGGCCGGCATGACTAAACACCAAGGCGCACAGAACGCTGTTACCTTCCCACCAAAGTGGTACCTATTTATCTACTTGCAATCTCTTGCTTTCGAATTCCTAAGAGACAAGCTCAAAAAGGTACAGACAGTAGATAGATTGCAAAAGAGCTATTTTAATGTAGCCGAGGGCGCTCTGTAGGGTGCGACATCCCCGCCCCTTTAACTGCAGGTCCCCCTCCTTTGCTATATTGTGAAGTGCTTTTGGAATCCACCTTGATTTTGAAAACTGTCTGCCCTTTAACACAAAACAGGAAGACTTGACAGGAGACACAGGATTCCAAGCCGCCCTATTTGCTGATGCTATGCAAAGTGCAAGCAGTGTATGTGTGTGTGTCTGTGTGGGGGAGTATTTGCAGGGCAAAAGTTAAAGGGGGTGCTTACTCTTCCCCTCCACCAGCTGCCCTTCTGCTGCTAAGCCTCCCTCAGGGGTTCCAAGAATTCTTTGCTGGTCACGTTGGAAAAAAACACAGGTGGTAGAAGGGTTGCTCCTGCCCTATGGTCACCATAGAGTTTTAACCCAAATGCTAGAGTGTCCCCCGTGCAATGTGCCTAGTGCGATGACATCACCTCTGGGTGATGTCACTGTGACGAGCATGTCAGTCGTGACGGGGCTCTTCGGAGGCAGGTCTCCCCCTGCCGGCCAGCCGGCTGTCAGCGGATTGGGCCCCCCAAAAGTGGGGGAACCCCCACCCCCATTGGGGAAATGGCAACCCGAAGTGGTGGTGGGGTGCAGAAGAACAGGAAGAGAAGGTTCGAGTGGGTGATCCTGTTCCATTAAATGATACACGTTTAAAATTTTGGGTGCATGACGTAGCTAACTGCATGCTCTTTAGGAACCTGGGCAGCAGCTTCTGTTTGAAGTACCCTGCCAAGTGCTATTGTGTTGCTGGCAAACACAAGAGTTATCTCACATGGCTGATCTTGATGTAATACTCACCTGGCCCTTTTGCGCCTCCTCTTAAGATACGCCCCAGCCGGAAGATGATGGCTCGCTCGTACTCCTTCACTATCTGCAAATAGAACAATAAGTGTGTGTGTGGGGGGGGAATTAATCCCATGTGTGGAAAAATAAAATCATCTCTCAGCCTCTTTGGGCTAAGTTTTTGTAAAACATTCACAGGTAGCATAGGCTTGATAGTACACAGAAAAGAAACTGGATTTCTCTGCTGCTCTGGATGTTAGAGAAAAGGCCTAATTAGAATTCTGCAGTACCAGAGAGCACGAGGGAAGAATAAACCGTACAGACACTATATGTAAAATGTCTGAAGCTTATAATGTTCCAGGAATGGTTACAAGCCAGCGCTTGGTTTTCTGTCATCTGTTGCTGATTTGGAAATAATTTTTGGTTTACTGTAAGAATGAAATTCAGGATTACTTTTATTGCAGCGTAGGTTGATTGTGGTATACATTTGTTTTGGACACATTTTAAGGAAACAGACAACCTAACCCTAAGGGTTCTCTTTGGATAGAACAACAAATCATGGTGTGTTCCCTTATCTACAGACCCAGGTTCTGAAGCCCAGTTTTAATTTTGGTCTGCAGGCAAAAGAACCATAGTTTGTTGATTTGTTTGACCAGGACATCATAACAACTGTAGCATTTTGGAAACCAGGAGGTCACCATCACTGATGGTTTGTTCATGCACAACAAAAAGAGGTATGCACCAGCACGTGGATTTCCATTCCCATGGCAATAAACAAAAGATTGGGTGTTGCATCTGAATGCAGCCCAGGTAGGGGAGAAAAAAAGCCTCTGCCAAGAGCTGTAACAGCTCAGAGAGAGATTACAGGTAATTCCATAAGGTTTCTAGGCAACCATATATTTTTTTCATTCAGGATGGAAGATGCAGTGCACTGGAAAATGGAAATCTACTGTTGGCATGCTCTTGGAGCCAGTTTGTACAATCAGAAGAATCAAGTAGGAAAGGGCTTCTTCATAGACTCTACTCCTTCATGTGGCAGGATGATAGTGAAAGTTTAAATTCTCCGCAGGAAACGGGGCTTCCCTTCACTTAAACCTGCAGCACATCAAACAGGTAGGCTCAACTCTCCTCCCAAAGTGGTAGTTTTCTATTTACGGGGATTCCCCCTCCCCCAATAGAAGGGAGCATTCAAACATGCAAGTCACCATCTGTACAAACTAGAAGAACATATCCCATTGTATTCTGCCAGTTGTATAAACTATTCCCAACTGTTAAACAAGAAGGAAAAAAGGTAACATTCCGCAGCCTCCCAAGCAACATGGATGAAGCAGGTTTCTAAAACCAACATGATTATATTAGCGTATGTAATCCCATCTATTTTGAGATCAGGAATGATAACATGGTGTTATGCTATTAGGAAGTACAGGAGTTGGAGGTGGAACCTTAAAAGAGGAGGTGCTACTGCAGCGAGTACCGATTTTCAGCAGCAGGTTATAACTATATTGTGCTTTCCCGCCAAAATCAACTTCCAAAGCAGCTCAGAAGATTAAGAATGACAAAATGTAAGGCAAATGTTTCTCTGCTGACTTGAATCAGCCACAATTCACTCCAAGTTTCTGCTTCCCTTACTCTGCATCTATGATGCTGTGGGTATAAGGCTGGGAAAAACTGGACCACTATCTAAAAAGTGCATTGTTTGGACCACAAAAAAATGCTTCTGCATAGTATTTTTATTGTATTACTTTTTATTTACACCCTGCTGTTTTCCCTAATGGGGACCTGATGCAACTTATCACATCATTCTCCTCTCCTCAGTTCACGCTCCCAAAGTATTGTACAAATTAATGTAAAACGCAGGCAAGCCATGAAGAGCAAAATATAAACAGGAAGAGCAGACTCCCAAAAGCACACTAAAGAAGACAGCAACTTCTCTCTAAGTATAGGAGAGAAAAACAATGTAAGCTGCTTTGGGACCCCACCGAGGAGAAAGGCAGGGTAGGTAGGTAGGCAGAAAGAAACCAGTGTTAGTTTTCCATTTACAAGGAGTGTATTATGCAGAGGAACATTCCGATCTGGAATCAACCACCTGCAGACTGCAATGAAAAGCCATTTTACCGCCTCAGAGTTCAGTCACCTCATTCTCCTCTGTTGTGAACCAGGCCTAAGACAGGGCCAGAACCATCCCAGGGTTAAGATCAAGTGTTGGCATGTGTAGGCAGCTGCAAACAAGGGCACCTCTAGCCATTGTTGCCTCTCCCCCAAGAAATAGGTGACTGCCCCAGATGTTTCTGCAACACTGCAAGGGTGATCATAGAGTTGGAAGGGACATTGCAGGTCATCTAGTCCAACCCCCTGCACTCTCCACCCCCTGCACCAGGGGTGCTGGAAGCAGTGAACTACAGTTTTTCACACTGCGTTCAGATATGCAGATGGTAACTGGGATTAAAGAGGCATGAAGGAATCATGCCCCACTCCCTCCTGCAGGAAAGGCAGCAAGTGCGTGGGTTAATGTATGTACACGTGCAGGCAAGAGAGAGGTGGTGGCATAAGAACATAAGAGAAGCCAATGACGGATCAGGCCAATGGCCCATCCAGTCCAACACTCTGTCACACAGTGGCCAAAAATACCAGGGGCCATCAGGAGGTCCAGCAATGGGGCCAGGACACTAGAAGCCCTCCCACTGTTGCCCCTCCCCCCCAAGCACCAAGAAGACAGAGCATCACTTGCCCCGGACTGAGAGTTCCTATCTAAAATATCTGTCCTGTCTCTTCTAGTAACCTGCTGTCACTGCGATGCTGAACAGCCCCCACAAATTGCAGGTGGGGGAAGAGAAGGAGGAGCAGATGCAGGCAGGTGCGGTGTGGGGGGGGCATCTTGCTCCCCCAACCTCTTTTATAGCATCTAAGAAAAGACTTTCTCAAGCACTCTCCAAAGCAAGGCTGAGAGATACGGGGCACACAGAAGCACGAAAGGGCACATGCTACACAGCACAGTGTGCTCCAGTGTGGCGGTGGAAAACAGGAGTACGGAGGTGCTCTGCACTTTGGGGGGGGGGACAACAGGGAGAGGCACTAGGTGGGGGGAGGAGTCACGGAGGTCTGAGGTTCGACATAGACCGTGATGGAAAGTGCAAGCGCACCCGCGTCCTAAGCAATGCTCCCTCAAAGCTGTGGAGTCCTGTGAGCAAAAATTCTACTTTGTGAGCTGCCAGCATTAAAGTTGTGTGTGAGCGATTTGGCTGCTGCATAAATTAGTTTGCTCTGGAGCCCTCCTTCCTGAGCTAAGACAGAAATGTGTAAGCCGGAGGCTAAAAAACTGTGAGCTAGCTCACACTAACTCAGCTTAGAGGGAACACTGGTCCTAAGCATAACAGGAGTCCAAGCTGCCGAAGGCCAGCAGAAGCGACAGTCCAGGTTCATCCATCCCGCAGTGTCTGAAACTACAGAGAGAATTCCGCAGACCCTCAGGGACCAACCGACTGACGGAGAGCTCTGGGGACCCTGGCACAAGACATTTCACAGCTTTTTATGCTCCCTCTAAGCTGTGGAGTCTTGTGAGCAAAAATTCTGCTTTGTGGAGCTACTGGCACTAAAGTTGTGAGCGAGCGATTTGGCTACTGCATACATCAGTTTGCTCTGGAGTCATCCTTCCTGAGCTAAGACAAAAATGTGTGAGCCGGAGGCTAAAAAACTGTGGGTTAGCTCACACTAACTCAGCTTAGAGGGAACACTAGCCACAAGACGCATGCTCACTTTCACCAGATAACCGCAACCGACCCTTCTTCCCGTTTTACAAACGGGGCTGGGGCTTCACAGCGGAACATCGGCTTTGCACACAAGAAGGTCCCAGGTTCGAATCCTGAAATCTCCCATTAAAAAAAATAAGCAGGAAATTGGACGAGGGGGGAGTCCCTGGAAAGCTGCAACACTGCCCTTGACCGACCAAAGGTCGGACTCATGTGGCATGTTCGAGGAGGCCATTGAAGGCATATTACTCCACTTCTTGTGCTCCTAGTACCTAGCAAGAAAGCTGGCTGCCATCAGATTGCCCCTTTGAAGCAGTTCACATTCCCCTCATTCTTCCCTTTTTTGCAAAATCTGAACGACTCTGGTCTCAAACAGATGAGACACAGCAAACTGCAGGTTTCTGCAACCTCAATTAGCCTTGGGTACATGAAGGGAAAGGGAGAAGAGGATTAACCTTCTATTTAAAACTGGCTCACCTACTCTGTTACTAGCATTTTAAAGGGAAATGTGTAGTTTCTTGTTTAAAATGCTAATAGCAGAATAGGAGAAAGCAGGTTCCCTATATATTTAAAACCTAGTGGAAGTTGAAGGGTTAAACCCCTTCTCCTTTCCCTGCATGGCACGGAGGCAAACTGAGGCTGCAGAAAGCATGTAGGAAGGGTGTCATGGCTCAGTGGCAGAGCATCTGCTTTGCATGAAGAAGGTCTCAGGTTCAACTCCCAGTTGGATCAAGTGGCAGATGATGCAAAAGATTTTAACAAGTAGACCAAAGGTTTGATTGTGTACAAGGCAGCACCATGTGTGTGGAATAAGATGTGTCAAGTCCAAGATTTTTTTAAAATGCTCAGTCACTGGCACACCCTCCCCATAGGATTAAAATGCTGTTCAAATGTTAATCCGTTTGAGGGAAATTCCACACCTTGGCCCCGGTCACACGGCAAAATTGCCGCAGGAGAGGCATGGAAGGTGGGCGGATTATCCGGGTGCGATCACACCCCAACATCTGGGAAGTGGAGCGCACCCGTGGCTTACCGCCAACAATGCGCATTGAAAAACTAGTACCTCCAAGGTACTAGTAAACATTTGCCACGGGCTGCCTCCAAACGCCCGTGGTGTGATCGTGCCGGCGTGCAGCATTCCCCCCCGGTCCCTCGTTTACCCGCTGGCACCGAGGGAAGGACCCGTGCTGTGCCGCCGGCATGTTTGATCGCATAATCGCGGATCAAACTGCGCCAGGGCAATTAGGCACGCCTCCCCCCCGCGATATCCGGCCCGTGTGCCCGGGCCCTTGAATGTTTTCCAAGAAACGTTTTTTACCTTTATGCACATCCAGATGGAGATGGGGAAAGTTACCACAATCAAAATGAAGGAGACGACGACTAGCAGCCATCCGCACACCCCAAGGCCATGATCAGAACCTTCTGGAAAAGACAGACACAGAAATTGGGAAGGTCAGTTCAACTCAGTGTAAATTAAACATATAGAAGTAAATCCACAAAAATCAAGATTCCTTCACCAAGAAATACCTAGAGTTCTGACACTGTACAAGTTTAGCTAACACACTGGTTTACTTGGCATAATTGCTCCAGACTGTAATGGGAATTTGTGAATTTTTTTTATAATTTTACAAACAAAAAATATATAATACACTACTACAATTATACATATAACATAGGCAATCGTCTTACATAAACATAAACATGAACTTGGGCGATCATCTATAATCAATCTACTTCATCCACCATATCTAATTCTTACATACACTACAATACTACAATGATTTATTACAATTGTCAATCAGAGTTCACTTGTTTGCATATGATTTATTTATTTATGTATTTATTCGACTTATTATACCACCCTAACCCCTAGGAGTCTCTGGGCGGTTTACAGGAGTGTTCTAAGAACTGTTTTTTACCCTAACTAAGGCCACATACTATAGGGGTGGGGATTTCCTACCAGCACCCTTGTGGTGGGCCCGCTGCGTCTATTTCTGGCTCGGCTTTCTTTTGTCTATAAAATGTAACTAGAAATAAGGCCCGATGTGGAAATAAATACAACGAGATCTAGAAAGAGGCTCTGGGAGAGTGCTCTGGCTTTGGGCAAACAGTGTCAGCTTCCTGTGGTGACCTCAGCAGGGTATAATGACAGAGTGCACTGTTTTCTCCAGAGGGACTGATCTGTGCTACCTGAAGAGGATTTGTATTTTTGAGTTATCTGTAGCCCTCACCTGGAGAGTGGTAACAATTGTTACCCAGGCTCCACCCCTCAAATCTCCAGGAATTTCCATAGGTAAAGGTGGCAATGCACCAAACAGAGGAGGACAGAGAGGGGGGAAGAAGGTAAGAAGGGGGTTGGAGGGAGGGCTGCAGAAGCATATGCCGGCTTGTCTTGGTGTGCAGGCTGGAGAAGGGAGGGGGGGCTTTGAGAGCTTCTACCAGCCATCTCTATTTGCTGCTGAGAAATGCGGAGTAGGGTCTTGGACAGGTTCTCCGTGGCGTTGGGCTTGCCCCGCGGCAGGAGAAGTGGCGAGTGGATAGAGGGGCTTGGGGGGCGTTGTTT